TCATATCCTTTCTGACAATGAGCCAATCCAGTGAATTTTGTGGTTTTTAGTTCCAAAATTGCCATTTGTTTCTTTTGTGTAGTTTATTTTTGTTTTGTTTCAAGATGTTCACTCCAACCTAATGGATCATGACTCTAATAGGTGTTCTAGAATTCTTTGATTATTCCAATATTTGGGTCCTGTAGGGGCCAGCATCTATTGTTTTCAAAGAATGGATCTGTTGTCTCTTTTTAGAGTAAGATTTTGTTGTTTTGCCATGTCTGATAATTTAGATTCTTTTTTTAAATATATATATTTATTTATTTTTTAGGTGTAGATGGACAGAACACAATGCCTTTATTTTTATGTGGTGCTGAGGATCAAACCCGGGTCCCACCCGTGCTAGGCAAGCGATCTACTGCTGAGCCACAATCCCAGCCCCCTAATTTAGATTCTATATTGGACATTTTTCATGTTACATGAATTCTGGGTCCTCTTAAAATTCATTAGAAAATGTTGAAGATTTACAAGTCAACCAGGTCAGGAAATAACTTCAAGTTCTTTCTCATTTTACAAAGATGGTGGTTTTGTAAGTTTCCAGAGTCTTTGTTATGTTTTGAGTTTGCACCTCTCAGTTTCACTTAGTTTAATCTAGAACTTAGGCAATGGTTTGTTAATAGTTGTCCTAGAATACTTTGTTTGTTGTTGTTGTTGTTTTAGGAACACCTAAGGCTGTGCTAGTTCTTAGCGCTGTCATAACAAAGTAACACAAACTGGATGGTCCTAATTTTGGAATCTTTTGAAAGTCTGATGTCTGAAATCAAAGTGTAAGCAGATGAGCTCATATCATAGCAAGGATCCCTAAAAGACCTTAAAAAGTCTTCTTTGTCATTGAGATATTTCAGAGTTAGGTACCTGAGTTATAACTGTGAAAAGAAAGTAAAAAGTAACTTGGGATTTCTCAGAGGAAAAGGAAGGAAATATTATTATTGTTGTAAACAATCTTTTTTAAAAAATATATTTTAGTTGTAGTTGGACACAATATCTTTATTTTTAGGTGGTGATTAGGATTGAACCCAGTTCCTCACACGTGAGAGGTGGGCGCTCTAACACTGAGCTACAGCCCCAGCCCAACAGTCATTTTTTATGATTTCTGAATCATAAACACAGAATATCTGTGTTTTCTTAGAAAATTTCTGACCTCTGTTGTATCTAAAATTTAGTATTAGTGAAGTATTTTTCATCTTTCTTTTATACTACCATGAAAAGAAAGTAATACTGCAGTAAATATGACAACACAATATAGTTTCTAATATGCTCAAAATGTTTGATCAGATTATGAACCCTATAGAAAATTTTAAAACTGCATTTGAATTCTGTGGAAAAAAAAAAGTAAAGGTCTGACTCCTGGCCATATAATAAACAAACCTACAAATATTTGTGTAAATGCACTTGAAATTCTAGATAAGGTTTTAGGGGCTGGGGTTGTGGCTCAGTGTTGTAGTGCTTGTCTGGCACTTTTCAATCCTTAGCACCACATAAAAATAAATAAAAATAAAATAAAATAAAGGTATTGACATCACAACTTAAAAAAATAAAATAAATAAGGTTTTGATCCACAAATTGCTTTTATAAAGTAACAATGTGGTTTAGAAAAAAAAAAAAGTGCCAGCAGACCCACACAGAAGAGTTCTTCTTAACTCTTTCTTGTTTCTGATAGTTGCTGCGAATCCTTTGTATTACTTGGCCTGAAGATGCCTCATTCTGATCTCTGCCCTTTTCTTCTCTTGGTTTCCTTCCTTGATCTTCTCAGTGCCTCTTTGTCCTGTCCTATAATTCTTAAGCCTTGTTCCACATATGCACACCTTGCAGGTAGGACTTGGTTCAGATACATTATGGAGTTTATTTCTCCATGTGTTATGTTCTCAGCGATTTCCTCCAAACTCTTCAATTCTATGGGCATTTTCTTTACTTCCCTAGTCAGAAACCTGGAGTTCTTTCAGTTTTAGTCGCCTGCCCATGCCTTGGAGTGAAAGAATAAGGAAGGTGGTGGATACAAAGGTGGGGAGGACAACCCTCCTATTCTCTTCTTGCCCCAACAGCAGCCTGTTTTCTAATTTCCTCTGCTCAGAGTGCGACTTCACAGAATAGTTTTGTAACTGGGGGTGGTCAGGAGAAAGAGGAGGGGAAAAAAAGAAGAGAAAGATTCTCTGTACATTCTCTAGGAGTTTTTACCTCATTCTCTGCCCCACCCCCCAAAAAATGCACTTCTCTTTTTTGACTGATCACATTCATTATGTGATTTTCCTAATTGGTCCAACCTTGACTACCATCTTATTGGTTGTTCTTCCCTGCCTCCCCAACCCCCATTTGGCCTGCTTTTAATTTTCAGAGTTCGCTGTGAGTTGCACTTTGTTTTCTGTCCATAATTTTTAATTGTAATCAATGGGAGATAGAAATACAGTGGGCTGGCTATACTCCATAATGACTAGAATCAAAAGGCAGATTGATTTGTTTTGTTTTCAAATTAATGAAGGTTGCAGTAATTTTTCTTTATTTGCTGTTGAGCTTGTTCTCCATGGTTTCCGTTACCCACTGTCAATCAATAGTATGAAAATATTAAATGTTCCAGAAATGAACAATTAATAAGTTTTTTTGGTACTGGGATTGAATGCAGAGGTGCTTAACCACTGGACAACAAGACAGGGTCTCACTCAGTTGCTGAGGCTGGCTTTGAACTTGTGATCCTCCTGCCTAGTTGCTGGGATTACAGGTATGCAGCACTGTGCATGGCCTAACAATTAAATTGTGCACTATTCTTGCCACTAAGATAAAATCTGAAATCTCAAGAAGTGAACCATCCCTTTGTCTAGTGTATTTACCTTGGCTACACTCTGCTTGATTAATCACTTAATAGCCTTCTCAGTTATCAGATCAGGTGTTGAGGTATCACAGTATCAGGTGTTCACTGGGGGTCTTGTGCCCTGTGAATAACATGTAAACATACAAGTTTTATGTGACTAAATGGACCCACTTAAGGGTAGAGTTTTGAATTTTGAGAAATGTATACCCTCAATCAGCTGCATGAGATTAATTTTTTTGTAACCTTTGGTGCTTAGTTCAAAAAGGGAGTCAGGGCTGGGGTTGTGGCTCAGAGGTAGAGTGTTCACCTAGCCTGTGTGAGGTGCTAGGCTTGATCCTCAGCATCACATAAAAATAAAATAAAGATATTGTGTCCACCTATAACTAAAAAATAAATATTTAAAAAAACTTAAAAAGAGAGTCAGTACATTTACCTTACAGAGTGTTTTGAGAATTAAATGAGGTACATAAAGTATCTTGTACAGGGCCTAGTTAGTATACAATAAACACAATGTAAGCATGATCCCTCATCAACTTTCCTTATGTGCAGTGCACATAAATGACTAGCCATTGATACAGGGACTTAGATCAGGTACTGAGCAAGGAAGAGCCCAAGGAGGCTCTTCCCCAAACCTATTAAATAAAATTATTAGGATAGAACCTAGGTATTTATAAGACTTTGTATAGTGAGTTTTGATAAATTAATAATAGGCTGGAACCAGTGATTAATATTGGAACTCAAGACACAGAAGAGGCACACTGGCAACAAGTCATTCTCGCTATCTCTCTTTTTTTTTTTTTTGCTTTTGCAAGTTGAGACTCTTGACAATTCCTAAAACATTTTTGCCCAAGCCCACTATGTAGTGGAGGAGAATGTAGTGTGCTGGATGTCATATTAAAGCGAACTGATTCTAGTGAATACCATTAAACTTAATTCTCTCAGTTGATTTTATACAAATAAACATATATTTATGATTAGTTCATAGGTTTCTTTTACATTTTAACAGTTTTTAGATTAATGATGTGTTTCTGGAGTTTTGAGTTAAAGAAGGATTGTTAAAGTGTCTTGGTCTAAGAAGTAAGAAGCACATAGGTAAATTAGGAAAATGTGCCTAGGTGGGTGATACAGTATCTGTGTCCTTTGCTTTTTTGTGAGGTAGAGTAGACATGAATGTATATGACTTTTCTTTACAAACGGCAATGTTGGCAACAGTTTATATCCCTTCATGACATTTTTTATAGAAGATTATTTTAAATCAATAGTTAACTAATACGTTGATCTAACTACAGAGAAATTAAAATTTTAGTCCATAGAGATCACTTTTTTTGTGGGGGGTGGGTAGTACTAGGGATGAAGCTTGGGACTCTGGTTTATTCTAGGAGAATAAACTACTACTGCTTTGTAAGTTGTATTATATTTGAAAAATAAAAAGCCAATTTAGGTTTGAGTTCCACTTCTAACATTGTAACTTGTGCTAGTATCTTTGAATAAGTCAAGTTTTTGCTAAACTCTTAGACCTGGTTGTGCTGTAAGTCAAAATTCAGTACCCAGATAGTAAGCACATTAGTTTTGTGGGAAATTGAGGTTTTTTTTTTTTTTTTTTTTTTTTTTTACCAGCACTGAATGATAGGGCAGTAAACTTTGGTTCTATTTCATGTTGGCTTATTGTTCTAGAAATAAAATAGCTACTAAAGGTGAAAGTGCAGCCTAAGTACATGCTGTATGTTATTACATGATACAGATAATTTTTCATTTAGATTAACTGTGAATGAATGGTTTTGACTCATTTGAACTCTTTGATACAAAAAGTCTCAGATATTTTTATTGATTATATTTAGTGTGCTCATTGGTAGTCTGTTAAATCTCAGTTGCAAAAAACAAAATTAATTAGAGCTTGATTTAGTGTAGTAACTTACTTTGTAATTTCCTTTTCTTTTGGCTTATTTTGACTCCTATAGAAACCTGAAAGTGTGGCGGAATATTTTTAAATAGTCTTACCTTGCAATTAAAATTTTATATATTCTTAAAGGGAATAAAAATATATTCAAGGAAAGGAAACTTGGGTGGAGTATTATGGAAACTTAACATTTATTGAACTTCTAGGTTAAATTTAACAATGCAATTAATTTAAAATGACTCTCTTTTCTCTCCTCTTTAGAATCCAGCTACTATCACAAGAATACTCCTTAGCCACTTCAATTGGGATAAAGAGAAGTTAATGGAAAGGTAAGGAACTATATTTTCAGCTTTGTATTTAGAACAGAGAAAGCCTGTTGAATTGAACTTGTAAGAAGTAGGAAGTTAATATGTGAATAAACCAATGTGCAAATAATATAACTACTTTAATTTCTTATATTTTTCATCTGTGCACTTTGTAGTAAACTTAGTATTAGGGAATTCAGACTTAATTATCTTATTTTGGAGGGAAAGTGAGTGCTCTACTTAAGTACCAAGAATTAAAAGTAGATTGAGGGAAAAACGGCACTTGATACATTCTTGGAGCACAAATAAGATCTTCCTTTAATTGCTTAAAAACATGTCTTATTCATAAACCTTAAAGTCCATATTAAAGCACTAAAATGACATTTTATTCAGTGAAAACAAAATTGAAAAGTTGTCTAGTGTTTCCTGGGCACCAAACCAGCTATTTGTGTGATTCTCTGATTTCAGGTAGGATTCTATCTTATTTATTGGGTATTTTTCTATTTTCTTTGAAAATCTTTCTAGTTCTAAAAGAGAAAAAATTATTTGGATTGGAAACTGTCAATGCCATAATTTATCTTTTTCTGTGTCTTAGATTGAAAATTTGGGACATTTAATAAGGAGGTAGAACTTGTATTTATTCTCTCAACCTTATAGTTAGCGATCTTAGTTATAATAAATAATTACAACTCCTTTTTTGGGAACTGAGAATTCAATATTGGGGGAAATGAGTGTAAAATATTGCCCATTTGGTTGTAAAACTCACAGAGCTTTGTAAAACAGATATTAGATAATACCAAGAATGTAACCTATTTCATGCACCTTGTGTCCTATCTACAGTTCAGTAGTAACATTAATAACTATCATCTTTTGAGTACCCTCTGTGGGGCATTATTAGATTTTTATCCTCCAGATAGTTTTTATGAGGCTAGAAACTATTATTGCTACTTAATTGATATGAAGACTAAGGTTTAGAACTTAAGTGATCTCCGTTTATAACACAGGGATTTAATTAGCAGCAGTATAAAAGTGTTCCTTTTTTCTATTTTCAGAAAGATTTATTGGATTCCAAAGCATATATTATAAACAGCTTGACCAGGATTCATGAAGGACTAGTGAGATTTAACAAAAAATCTGTGCTAGGAATTGAACCTAGGGCCTTACCCATGCTAGGCAAGTGCTCTACCACTGAACTATATACCCCCAGTTGTTTTTTTATTGGAGCTCTATAGTGACGGTCTATGCACAGAATGTAGCAATATAATTTGGCCAATATCACTCTTCTGTGCTGCTTCCCTTTGGTTTTCATAAGATTGTTACCCCACTCCCACCCCTTTATCCTTTTTCCTCTCTGGCTTTTACATATGGGAGAAAAGATACAACCCTTGACTTCCCGAATTTGACTTTTTTTGCTCAACATAATGGTCTCTTAATTTCATCAAGTTTTCTGCAGATGACATAATTTCATATGGCTGAATAAACTCCATTGTGTATATGTACACACCTCATTTTCTTTATCCATTCACACATAGGCAGTTTCATAATTTGACTGTTGTGAATTGTGCGTGTGCATGTATCACTATAGTGTGATGACATTAATTTTATATAAGTATAAATATTGAGTAATGATACAGCTAGGCCATATGGTAGTTCCATGTCTATTCTTCTGAGAAACCTCCATACTGATTTCCATAGTGGTTGTACTAATATACAGTCTGACCAACAGTATAAAGGTGTTCCATTTTCTTCACATCCTACCCAGCATTTATTATTGTTTGTAATCTTGATGATTGCCATTTTTAACTGGGGTGAGATAAAATTTCACTGTAGTTTCATTTCTGTAACTGGTAATAATTTTGAACATTCTTCATACATTTGTGGCTATTTGTATTTCTAATTTTTGAGAAGTGTGTGTTTTAAATTAATTTGCCAAATTTCTAATTAATTTATTTACTTTTTGTGGTGCTGGGGATTGAATTTAGGGCCTTGTGCATGCAAGGTAAGCACTCTACCATCTGAGCTATATCCCCAGCCCCAAATTTGTCCATTTATTGATTGGGTTATTTGATTTTTGTGGTGATACTTTTTTTTTTAAAAAAATTTGTTAATGGGTCTTTATTAATTTATATGTGGTGCTGAGAATCACACCCATTACCCCACACATGCTAGGCAAGTGCTCTACCACTGAGCCACAACCTCAGTCCCGGTGTTAAGGTTTTTGAGTTCTTTATATATTTTGGATACTAATCCTCTGTCAGAAGAGAAGCTAGCAAAGATTTTCTCCCATTCTGTAAGTTGTGTTTTCTTATTCCTAATTGTTTCCTTTGCTGTGCAGAACAGTTTGAGGGGTATTGGCATTGGTTCTTCTTTAAGGTTTTGTAGAATTCAGCTGAGAATTCATCTGGTTCTGGACTTTTCTTTGTTGGAAGGCTTTTTGTTACTGTTGCTATCTCATTACAAGTCTGCTTAGGTTTTCTATGTGATCTTGATTCAGATATACCATTTGTATGGTATATCAATTTCCATCCTTTCACTTTTAGCCTGTAGCTATCTTTGCCTATTAAGTGCATCTCTTGCAAATAAGCATATAGTTCGGTTTTGGTTTTTAGTCCATCCTGATAGCCTATGTCTTTTTTTTATTATTTTTATTTAAAAATTTGTTTTTTAGTTGTAGTTGGACACAATACCTTTATTTTACTTATTTATTTTTATGTGGTGCTGAGGATTGAACCTAGGGCCTCGTACATGCTAGGCGAGCACTCTACCACTGAGCCACAACCCCAGCTCCTAGCCTATGTCTTTAATCGGAGTGTTGAAACCATTTACATTTAATGTTATTACAGAGAGATGTTTATTAATCCATGCTGTTGATCATGTTTAATTTGAACCCTTTTCTCATTAGCTGGTTTAGTAGTCATCGGTTCCTTTAGTTTCTACTTGTCTTGGAAGGTTTTTATTTCACCTTTGATTTGGAAAGATACCTTTTTCTGGATCAGCAGTCTTGGTTGTTGACAGTTAACTTTCTTTCAGAACTTGGAACACATCATTCCAAGCCCTCCTGGCTTTTGGAATTTGTGCTGAGAAATCAGAAGTGATTCTGATTGGCTTGCCTCTAAATATTTTCCAACTTTTTTCTCTTGAAACTTCTAAAATTCTATCCTTGCTCTGTATGTTAGGCATTTTAATTATGGAACCCAGCACCTCACACATGCCATGCAAGTGCTCTACCATCGAGCCACAACCCTAGCCCCTTATTTTCTTTCATGTTGTCTGAATATTCAAGGATGGCTACATGGTCTTCCAGCTCTGAAATTCTGTCTTCAGCATGGTGTACTCTATTAGAGAGGTTTTCAACTGAATATTTTATTTGATTTTATTATGTCTTTCATTTCCAAGCTTGCTTTGGTTCTTTTTCAGTATTCATCTCCTTATCGAATTTCTCATTTAAATTCTTACTGTCTTCCTTAATTCATTCCATTCTTTATCTATGTTCCTTGGAATTCATTGTCATTTTTATAATGATTCTTTTGAATTCTTCATGTGATATTTTATCTACTTCAAAAATTTTGGGGTCAGTTGCTGGTGAATTATGGACCTTAAAATGTGTTGTATATGGCTGGGGTTGTAGTTCGTGATAGAGCGCTTGCGTAGGATGTGTGAGGTGCTGGGTTTGATCCTTAGCACCATATAAAAATAAACGAATAAGTAAAATAAATGTATCGTGTCTATCTAGAGGTAAAAAATATATTTTTTATTAAAGAGATGTTACATAGCCTTGTTTTTTCCTATTTCTTGTATTTTTCTGTGTTGAGTTTTATGCATCTACTCCATAAGAGTAAATATCACACATAATGTGGGCCTTTTTAGGGCACAGTGTTTAGTTGTCAAAATGTCCTAGAGTGATCTAGATTGAGAACCAACCTCCCTTGTACCTGTGGTATTCAGAGCCTTTGTGTTAATTCTCTCTTTTTGCTGTAGCCATTTCTACTTGGGGCCTGGTCCTTAGCTTGGGATTTTGTCTCTTCTATTCTTTGTGTTAAAGTGCAGCTGAAGTTTGAGTGTCATTAATTTGTGTGTGGAGCAAAGTGTAACTAAAGCATTTTGGTTGAGTTAAAGTTCAGCAGCAGACTCTCTACCTGTGAACTTGTAGCGTTCCTGTAAGTTCCCAGGACCTCATGGAAAGGGCAAAATAAATAATAGCAACAACTGAAGCAAACAATATATAGCATTAAAGTAAATAACCTGATTCCTACTATGATATCTACAATGATTTTAAGCCACAAACCCCAGAAATGGTAGAGTCAGCAATTACCAACAGCAAAACAAACAAACAAAAAACCCCCACATAAACTAGTTCTGGCATTAAAGCAAACAGAAATCAGTTATGCCAGCCACCACAGTAATAACTGCACCAACATTAATGATGGGGGCAGGAGTTACATAAACCAATTATTCCTAAAAGATCTTAGAAATATAGTTAATATATGGACATGTGATAGAAAGACAGAAGAGTTTATAGTTTGAAAAAGTGAACAGAGAGAATGCAGAAAAGATGTAGCAGGTGATGGTTACATGGAAGGAGTAGAAAATAAAGGGAGAAAGAAAGGAAACAAAGTTTGGGTGTTAGCAGGAAAAGAGAGAAAGAGAAACCAGAGAAACAAATGAAAGCAATACAAAGCCAAAAGTAAAATATATAAACCAAGACCAAATAACTCTCAAAAGACAAGATAAGGAAAAATAACTAGAGTTAATAAATACTAAGAATGAGAAAAAAAGGAACAAATACATATATGTGTCCATGAACCCATCAACACAGCAAGAACACACACACGATTTTTAATGAGTAAGTGTCTGGAGGTTGTTAACCCCTTCCTGTTTTTGTATTGCCCTTTGAGCTGCTGGTTAGAGTGGCCCAAGACTAAAGCTTGTTGAAATAAGTCTCAGCTCTTTTTTTTTTACTAGTGTGAGATAGGATGAAATGAGAAGTACTATATTGTCAGTTGGAATTTTGTCTACCTAGACCA